TCAATAATTTTAAAAAATCACAAATTTGACTTTTTAGGCCATACTTTATAGATCAAAAACTATAGTTGTAAATGTGATATTGAAACTTTATGAGCACTTTTTAAAGCTTAAAATCTCTACTTTAAGATGGTGCATTTTATTTTTCTTAAAAAATTGAAATAATAGTTGAAAAACAAAAAATAACAAAAAATTAAAATATTTTATGAAAAATCCGTGGAATTTATTGTTAAATAGTTTAATGTACAAAAAAAAAAAAAATTGTTTAATAAACCATAAAAAAAATATTTTTTTATTTATAGCAATAAGTGCAAAATTGTTATAACAGCAAAAAAATTACGTTTTTTGCTGAATTGATTTAATATTCATTTTTAAAACGTATATTGTGTATCTGAAATTGTGAATATAAGTTCTTTTATTGATGTAGAGACAGATACGAGTCTAATATATACAGGGTGTTCAAAAAGTTTGTCGTTTATACGAATTAAATAATAATTATAAATGGAATAAAAATATGATTTTTATGTTTTCGAGTAAGCTGCAGTTGTCAGTGTGTTAAAAAGTGTATTATTCACATATTTTGTCCATTTTGAGGTTATACTCTCGTACACTTGTAATTCTTTAATGTAATACTATTACTTAATATTACAAATAATCTTCAGTTTGCATTTAAGGTATTTATATTCGTTTTCTTTTATGCTAAACCTGTAAATGTATGAGGTTAATATTTATATATGAATATTGATCCATTTTTAAAATAATTAATGAAAAAATGGGGGACGTTGAGTTTGATTTTGTAATTTTGTATTTAAAGGAAAGCAGGGTTGATTTGCACTGCAGCATCCTCTTCCTGTTATTTTTGAAGAAGAGCAAGAACTCGATGAGACTGAAAATTAATTATTTTCTAATAAATTTGTTTTTTAAAAAATAAAATGTTTTCAATAAAACCTCTTTAGAAATTTATAATTTTCATTTTTCGAACCTCTACATTACAAATATGTGCGAATTTGATTTAAAATCGATAAATTGTTTAAAATAGTCAGCCATATTGGATCAGCCATTTTGAATTTTCATTTTCCTACTTCATATTCTTGTTCAGCGACATCGGAAACCCCTATATTGTCAATTTGAAAGAATTCGATTTAAAATTCATTGAATTATTTTAAATGTTCTTAAAAAAACTATTTATATTTGTTTAAACAATTATAAAACAATTAGCGTACAAAAATAAGTTTATAACTTTTTTCTGATACTTATCTCAAAGTAATTTCAAAAGGTTTTAGGAAAATCCATGCTTCCCATAATTATTTCGAAATAATGCGTAATTTTAAGCTATCTTTACTCCAATAAAAGTAGTATTTGAACTGTACTAAGTCCGAAACCGGTCTGTGTCTGGTGGGTTAAACTGACGAACGATCCTAGCTATTGTACTAGGTGTTGCGAGTATAATTCAATAACGGTAGGGGCAAATAGCTCTCGGAGTAGTTGTTTCTCATAACACTGAAACTCAAACAGTATTTGAACTACCTTGCGTAGTGTAAGTGTGTATAACCTTATAAAATTATTTATTTCAATATTTAGTGACAGTACTGTGTTAGACCCAAATTCTAAACAAAAGCATGCGAGACGGTTAAAAGTGCGACTTACCACAGCAAACGGTTCCTCGTTAACTTCACCTTCCGCTTCTTTATCATCCAGCGGCTCTTCCTTCTTCACCGTAATGAATTCCATCTCGCTCTGCAGCTGATTGGGATCGATGTCGTTTATCCAGGTCAAGTCTATGGTTTCTATTTCCTGGTCCGTCAGTAAAGAAGCTTCTTTCTCCTGCTTCACGATCACGACATCAGGTTGAGTAACAGCTTCGGCTTCTCCCGGGGTTATGGCACCGTCAGTAGGATCGGCAGACCTACATCTATTCGTTTCCGGGGTCGATTCTGTCGTAACTTGGTCGGTGATCGGCGAGGGTCGAGCTTTTTCGGAAACTGGAAGGTTCGCCTCTTCAACTGGCTGTGAAGAGTTTTGCTCTTGCAGGGGAACGTCGGTAGACGGTGGAGGAGTTTCGTATGGCGCAGTGTACGGCAATCGAATCCTAAACGTTTCGTTGAAGGTACGAGGATCAGTACTGTATCCAGTGGAAGCAGTGGGAACATTTGTTTTCGTTACATCGACCGGTCTGATGGTAATATTCTGGTGAATCGTCACGTTCGGGTTTATTTTATTGACAGGTTGACGGTTGTTAGACAATACAACCAGGCTTTTAACTTGGGATGAATAATTAGGGAGCAGTTGAATATTTTGGGGGATTGTTTTACTGTTATTCGCAAGGCGATTTGGAATGCCATTCTGTAGTTGTTCCGTCAGTCTTTTCTGAACAGAACATATCGAGATATACTGCTTTATTTGCCATTCCAGTATTTTACGTTGGTTCGGTGTAAATGGATCTTGGGCTGCAAAATCATGTCCATAAGTGTTGCAAAATTTGTTAGATACCGTGAAAATTTAACAAACTATCATGAGAGATTGTTGTAGCCCGGAAGGTCGAATACCAAAGATGTAATCATAAAAATGAATCAAAATTTGTTTAAATATCAACTTATATTTATATTGGCCAAGGAGATGAGTGATGCTTGTCCTCATTACTTGCCAAAAATCCTTCTTTAAAAATGCTACATAAACATGTTTATTTGCTGCGTAGTTGTTAAATTAACACAGGACCTTATCGGAGAAAAATAATATAAATATAGATGAATTTAGTCCAAAATTCTAGCTCAGTCTTTCTTTAAATACTATTTCGGTCTCTCAGTCTCAGTCTTAACGTAATATCAGTATTTGAATCTCGAGTCACTCACCACAAATTGTTATAAAAGTTCAGTGCTCATAAGGGTCCCTTATATTAATATATGTACATTTTCTTAGCAGTAAAATTTCAGAATTACCTACCATCTCGACAAATCACAATCCAAACGGTTCATTTGTTCATTTATACATTTTTTCGTTCCAAAATTTAAAGTAATTGTTGTAAAATTTAGCTATATTTCAGTTCGATCCAATGTGGGCAAATTAAGAAAATTATATAATATTGTTATTAATATTTTTATTATATTATTATATACAGGGTGTGCCATTTAACACTCCCGCTGCCAATATCTCCGAAATGAAGAAATTTACTTTAGTTCCGGAAACTGGGGTTGTTAGGTCCCTCGAATAACTTCAAATTGTAGTTAGAACTGTTAGTTCAAATCTTTCTGTATAGATCCCGTGGCGATACTAAACAATTTTTTGATCCCTGGAACGTGAAAATGCAGTCCATATGTAAGATCGTTACATTTTGAGTAATTTTTGTAATATAAAGTTTTTCCCAATATTTATTATTTATTTTCGAGACATGTTGACTTCAATATGCAATGTATGAATTAACAAGATTTTATCTAAATCACAACGAAATAAAATATTCTTTTAAAATATTGTTATAATGACTTTATTCACACCACATATTAACTAACAAACAATAAATTAGAAAAGAGCAAATGATCTACTACAGAAAAAAAAAATTGTACAATGGTAGACTTTACAACTAGTAAAGTCTAATTGCAAGACGCAAACTGATAAAACTGTAATTATTGGAAAACTAATATATCATCTGTCATACATCATACATGTTTTATTTTAAGCAAATGACATGAGCCACCTATAACTGCACTTTTTAATAACATTTGTTAAAATACTGTTCGTCTCTGCCGCTTATAAGATTTACCATTGTACAATTTTTTTTTCTGTAGTTGATCATTCGTTTCTTTTTATAATTTATTGTTTGATAGTTAGTATGTAACGCGAATAAAGAACAATATTTTAAAAGAATAAGAATATTTTATCTCGGCGTGATTTAAATAAAATAATAGATTTTCCCATTATAGTTTTTCCGAAATCAATTGAAGAACCAATAACTTCAAGGTATGTACCAGGCTCGGTCGCTACGCAGCAACTCGGCATTGAAATATTTGGAAAACTTGTTCCCATATTCATTTAACCATATCGATAAACAGGTCTGGTCGAACTAAACATGGAGATGACAGAAATGTATACGCTCAGTTGAAGAATGCGAGCGTGGGTAAAAGAAAACGAAAAAAAAACAGCAGACAGCAAGTGGTTCATGAATTGCCCAGCAATGCAGTGCAGCAATGCGGAATTTGGTGTGAATCAGGTAATTTTAATTTATTATAAGCACCTTCTATCAATCATTCATATTACAATTGCGAAAGGGAGAAATAAGAGGGATATTTTGTTTACTAAAGTTATCACATCGCATTTTGGAGACCTTTTAAAATGGAACAAAACGAAACTTACCACCAATATAATAAAATTGTTTGTGGATATAAATAATTAAAATATGTTGTTGGCCAAATGAACATAAAATAGGAATTTTCTACACATTATATACAAATTATTATAATTTTTTTACCTTCAGCAGAAAATTTTTTTAGGGACGCCTATGAAACTCATTAAATTTTATTGCCAGACGTTTTTTTGCATATTCAACTAACTTCGGAAGGACTATACATCATACATTGGATATTGCAGTAAATATAGGGAAAAACTTTATATTACCAAAGTTACTCAAAATTTAACGATCTTTCAGATGGATTTTTTAGTATCACCATGCCATCTATAAAGAAAGATTTGAACTAACCATTCTAACTACAATTTGAAGCTATTGGAGAGACCTAACAACCCCAATTTTCGGAACTAAAATAAATAAATTTCTTCATTTCGGAGATTTTGGCAGCGGGGGTGTTAAATAGCACACCCTGTATATGGATATCTTTATAATTACTAACCTTGTCTTTATTTATTAATCATATATAATTATTGTTATCATATTAATCTATTATTAATTGGAGAATACATTTATATTACTATCAAGTGTTGGATTTCATTTTCGTTTTAATATTTTGCTAAACAAAATTTTAGTACAAATATAAGCTATAACTCCCTCAAACGGAGCAAATTATACGTAATAATAAGATACTCAGAACAAAAAATTTATTTTTCAAAAATAAAAAAGACGCCCAAGAAAAAAACAAAAAATGAAAAGAAAAATGAACTCTGAGAAAGAGCTCTGTTCACCGTAGCCAAAACACTAAAAGACACCGATTAAGCTCTTCTTAGAAACTTTTTTTGGATAAAAAAAACCCACAAGTACCAGAATCGAACTCCAAATCAATAAAGTTTAAAAATAATTCCAAAAAGTAGTGTAATTTTATAAAAAGACAATAGTTTAGAGCAAGGGTCGACAACTGGCGGACCGCGATCCAGGTCCGGACCGCGGAAGGTAAAATACTGGACCGCCAAAAATTTTTTGAAAGCATAAGTTACTCAAATAAATTATTTAAAAAATGTTTTTTTACGTTTGTGCCAACCTTATCATTTTTTCTAGTATTTTACAATTGTGTGAATGTTTTGAGTTCTTAATGGTTAGTAAGCAGATTAAATTTGAGTCCAAATGAAAATTTGTATGAAATATTAATTTTTTTTCTGGACCTCGTTAAAAATTTTTAAAAGTATCCGGACCCCACCTAAAATTACTTGCCAAACCCTGGTTTAGAGAAATAAGAGCTACCTTGCTCCTTTTTTTCTTGTTTTGTCTCTCATTTCTTCTCAGAGTTCAAAACTTTATATACAGAGTGTTAATTAATACAATGACAAACTTTAAGGGGTTATTTTTTGAGTAATTTTAAATCAAAAAGATTACAGACATATTGGGGTGACAAATTGATAGCATCCAAGATACAGGGTGCTGAAATTTATGAAAAAAATCTTTTGGGCGAGATATTAGTTCTTACCGAAGTCGAAATAGAATTTGTATAGGACCATCTTGTGTTTTATTAAGTTGAGTTTTATAGTAAAATTTTAAGAGGTGGTTACAAAGTTATTTATTTCAGCATTTAGTGACGTACAGTGTGTTTTGTGTGAAAACGCTTGTTTTTGAATCAAGAGTATGAGATCTGACAACAATTTAGTACTTACGTTGAGTAACGACTTGCGCGTTTTCCTGCTGACCCGTAGCGGAAAGAGCGCTTCGAATCTTCGCCGCGACAAAGGTCACGTAGTTGAACAAGTCCCTCAGGAATGGCACGGCCATATACTCGGACATTTCGGGCTGCATCAGGATATCCAACATCAAGTAGACCCGCCACAGAGCGAGATCCTCCACGATGCCACGCAACACCTTGTAAACGTTTTCCATCAGCAGCTCGGCGCTCTTGACGTTGCTGGACCTCCCCGTGAGATTGAGGCCTTTCAGCTCCCTGAGCAAGTCCTTGTGCAGCCTCCTGTCCCTCTCCGAACAGTAATTCTCGAAGTGGAACAGCTCTATCCTCATGGCAGCGGACATGTGCTTCTGTAACTTCAACAATTCATTCTTGTAGGCCCAACGCGCCTTTCTCACGTGTTCGTTGAGGAGCAAGTGTCTCATGAGAACGACGCCCGCCCTTCCGATTTCCTGCACGCTGATCTCGTGCATCGGGGCGGGACCTTCATCGTCGGTGTGCCTCATGGGGCTGTGGACGGCGTAGGAGTTATTCCTCGTGGCGCCGTTGGAATTGGACGTACGATTTTCAGAGTTCATCATTATTTGCTGGTACAACAGGGGGTTTTGTCTGCACGGCGTTGAATTGTTGACGGGTTTAGATAAATTGTTGATTTTCATCTGTAGTTGCGTCAAAGGATTGGGCGGAGGGAACGGGTTTTGTTGCCTTTGTAGCGAAGTTCTTCTTGGTGGACCAACGACACCCTCTTGACGTTGCTCGACTGGGATCGGGGGTGACGGGTTTACCTGATTGGTAACTTCCACGAAATTACCCCTGCAGCTGCGGGTGAGACCGATATGGATATTATCGCTCCCCGTTTCCTGTCCTGGGTGCGACTTGGACGTGTGGACGTTCTGGGTATCGGCAAGGGGTTTTACAGTTTGTGGTAAAGGAGGGGGTGATCTATTCTGCGTTTCATCTACGCTTCTCGTTACGTTAAAAGTGATTTGAGTGGGAGAAGACCCTTTCGCTACTTCGTTTATCGGACTTATATACAAAGCCGGACTTTTATTGCTAGAGTTCGGAGACGTTAACTCTTCTTTGGCCTTTGACTTGTCCTGGCTTGGCTTATTCTTTAAGATACTCGGTGAAATGGACTCCGAGGTCGTCTGAACGTCCAGCGAGTTGTTTATGGTCTCCTCGCTTCTGTACAACGTTATCATCTCGTCCGAATTTTCCTTGGCGGCATCGTCTGTTAAATCGATAATCGGTATATCCAGTTTCACTTCTATGACATCATCCTCTCGATTGCTACCTTGCCTCACAATCTCGATTTTGTCGTTAACATCGACGTTCTCCAACGTGACGGCTCTGTCGCAGCAGTCGTTTTCTTCGACGCAAGAACTAGCCCTTTGGAGCATTGGGAAACGGTTCCGGGACATCGACGAACACTGCAGAAGGTTTAATTGCACCAGTTCCTGTATTCCAGTTCTTATTTTCGATTCTATTTCCGAGAGTACATTGAACGCAACCGATTTAATCGGAGGGAAGTTTCGCTCTGCTTTGGACAACTTCGACTGCAACTGCAGCTGATTTACGATCAATTCCGTTTGAGAGGTTTCATTTTTCGGCGGATGGCCGCTCTCTTTAAGGTTTTTCGGTTTCTTTGCATAGTTGTTCCTCTTTTTATCTTCGTTACTTGTTTTCGAGGCAGAGATCGGGAGAGACACGTCCTTTTTTTCGTTTTTGTGAGGGATTTTGCGCTTTTCAGAATCTTTAATTTGGGTTTTGCATGAATCCGACGCAACGGTACTTTTCTTGGAACTACTCATTTCGCTTGTCTGTTCCTTTCTTCCGCAATTTTTATATCGCTGGTGTTCTTTCCGGGGGTCCTTTAACTTATGGTTGACGACACTGACAATTCCCATTTCGTCTTTCTTGTAATTCTTGTCCTTGTCAGATTTATCATTTTTTTGGATTCCCCCACCGATTAAAGAAACGGGTAACGTTTCCCGTCTTTTTTTCGCAATGAGTTTCGGTTTACCAACAGAACTAGGTACAGGTTCGCTTTTATTTATAATTGGATTTGCTGTTTCCACAGCCCCAATGGAGAATTTACGGGATGAAGCGTGACCAGTAATAGGAACGGAACATCTTCGTTTCTCTATCGTCTTGCTTGATTCTTTTGAACTTTGATTTATCTTATTCCTAGAGAACTCTCTTACGGCCAAATCGACTGGCGTTTGGGACTCCCCTGAACTGATAGGATTAGTAGCGGGTCCAGTAACAGCTTGTTTTTTTATTTGCACTTCCTTCTTGCTCGATTCTTCATACATTTTTCTGTTACTAGAAGTCTTATAATTGTCGGTTTTGGAAATTTCTTCGTCCATTTCGGACTCGCTGTCGCTACCGAACAGTGACTGTATCCTCTTGAAACGTTCGTAGTAACTGGCCGTTTTCGATTTGGATACATTTTGCGGAATTGGCTTATTCGCAGAGGGTCGGGAAATTGTGTTTGACACAGCCACAGAATTGCCAATTGCTATGTTGTTTTCCTTGCATTTCTGCTTTTTGTCTGCGGAATTCGATTTTGTCATTTGTTCATCTTTAGGTTTTGATTGTACGGAGTTCGAGGAAGGTCCGTCTTCGATTTGCTTTACGTCCTTTCTTTGTAGATTAGTCTTCTCGGTGCTGGATCGTCTAACTGTTTTTTCGGAAGGCTTTTTAGAATTATCGGTGTCTCGGAACTGTTTACGTTCAACGGTATTGCAACGCTCAGTACATTTCGTGCCAGTAGACGCATTTTCTTTCGGCAACTTTTGTTTATCGCTAGTTTTTCCATCGGTATTAACAGGGTCGGCAGTAATTTTTTTGTCGTTCGTCATGCCTCCTCGCGCTTTACTTTCCACACTTTCCGAGATGTGTTCGTTAAGAGGAATACCGGTTTTTTCCTCTTTAATCAAGTCGTCCATGGCCAGTAAAGATTTTAATTCTTCCTCGATGTCGAGAAGACTCTCTTTCTTGAAACTGTCTTTGGAAACAATGTTGCTGCACAACGGGATGGACGCGACGTTACTTCGATTTGTATCACTGTCGTGATTAAGCTCTTCTAACTTTACGCTGCATGTAACGCTCAAGCGATCTGTAGCTTCTTCTTTTTTCACCGGTACTTTAGTTTTGTCTTCATCTGGCGCCCTGCTAAGCCGTGCAATGTTATCGTCGACAGAGTCCAAGCAGGTTTTTTTCGACTGCTCCTCAAGCCCAACGGAATATTTCCTTTTGGAATTGATTGGGCAGTTGTTTACTTCTTCCGGTTCGGGTTTAATGGAGGGATTGTTTTCTATTGTGCTCGGAGTACTTGTGACCGTCTCGGTACTTTCCTCAATATTTTCTTTCTTATTCAAGTTATTCGTAATTGAAAATTCAGGCTTCGCTTTTACACGATCAGTAGCGGTTTCTAATTTCTTTGTATCATCTTCTAGTTGGTTGTTCAAAGCTTGAAAACTCTTCTTCTTCTCATCAACGGGTACCTTTCCTTTGATAAATTCTTCAGAAAAATCTTCTTTAACTTCTTGTGTTGTGGCACTATTTTCACTGGAGTTATTATTGTTCTCGCTCTTGATTGAGGCACTTTTATTTTCTACTGATAACTTTTCTTCATCGCCATTTAAAACTTTGTGAACGTTGTTAAAGCCGCTGGAGGCATCGGCTTCCCTGTCGCTAGACTTTTGGTTTAGCAGTAGTAATAGATTTGTTTTCAAGTCAAAATCGTACGAAACCTGGGATTTATTTTTATCAATCGAATCCATGGACGACGATCTAACTATAGGAGTATTTTTCACTGTATCGTTTAATGTTAAACTTTTACTTCGGAATCGTTTACCGATTTCAACTGACGATCTCTCAAAAGACTGTTTATTTTCCCTCAAAACTTCGTTTATTTCATTGAGGAGCTTGTCCGAGTTGATTTTGAAGTACAGACTGTCGTATCTGGCTTTTTTTGTGGTTTCTTCCCCCTCATCTTCACTTTTTCTCTTCAACGGACTTATATCCATGTCTAGTATTTCGTAGTTGTCCAATGCACTGGGGGAACTGCTTAAATACGACTTAGACGTGTCAATTGCGTCTATGGTTATAAAATCGTTGAAACAATCGATTTCTTCATCGGAATCCATTTCATTTATTGCTGTAAATGGATTCTGATCCTGGTTCTCGCAAATCTCACGGATTTTCTTCATCTCTCTCCCGGAATCTCCACCTTTATCTGAGAAATTAGCCCTCCTTTTATCGTCTGCTTTCTCGGAAGAGACGGAAACGAAAGAGTCACCATTCAACTTATTCAAGTCTTCCAAGTCGGACGAGTGGCTACTGGCACCAACGTCCTCAGTCTTCAAATCCTCTGTTTTCAAGTTATGGCACTGAACACTGCTTTTGCAGTCATTTAATTTACTACACGAATTAGACGGTTCATGTTTAATGTCTTTGATTGTTTTAAAGTCACTTTGTATCTGCTTCTGTAACAAGTTACTATTAACTTCACTCGTCTTTACTGGTTCACTTTCCTTCCTGTCGCTGTTTTTGACACAACCACCTGTTGATGTTGAAGGACTGCTCCCAGAACTCGCCGCACCGTCTTTCGTAGACGATTGATTTGTTTTAGCTTCCCTGGCATCATTACGGTCGTGTTCCTTGAGCTGTGCCCTTTTGACAAACGACAATGGCCTGTTGGAATTTCTGTAGTCGGATCTGTAAGAAGGATTATTCCTGTTCCAGTAATAGGGTCTGTTCCGAAACCGCAACTGGTTAAAATCATTTCTCTCCCTGAAATAAGAGCACACATCAAAGAGAGGTCCGTCGATAGGGGAAAAAACTTACTCTAGATCTTCGTCTTCGTAATTGGGAAGGTATATATCATCCAGGTGAGATCTACGTCTACGGTTCCCTACCGCATTCCTCTCGTAAGGGTAGCAGTTTCGGTAGAATGGCGACCTAATAATAGTAAGTATAAGAATAAAGAGAATATACCAGTTTCGTGAACAAATTGCTTCACATCTTCTGGCTAGCGGTGAAGTAATTTGTTGTTACTTCAATAAAGCATTTTGCGACATTAGACTTTTCTTTTTTTATTCTAATATGAATAACGCACATAGGATCGATTTGTCTACAACGATAATAAATATTTACCTTCTAAGCTGACTTTTAGTACAGTATAATATGCAGCATCAAATAACCAATTACATGTTTGCAACATCTGTAAATCTGTATTTGCTAATGCCTATTATATGTTTTATATTTATTTTATATAAATTTTAAATGAATTAATTGTGAAAATGAGGAATTAAAAAAAATTAAGACATGCACACCTTGCATACACTTCAATACAAGGTATTCAATATGTAGTAGGTATCAATGTAGAATTTTTTCTGCAGACTGACACTAAATTTTTTACAAATACAGTGAAATACATGATTAGAACTCCATATATAAAATTATACCTAGATATTAAAAAAGCATTTATGCATTTATGTGTGTACATATATTTTCATACATTTCAATCATCTGAAACCTTGTTATATTTTCCAAACTTTTCCACGTTTTGTAAATTTATTTTCATTGCCAAGTAAAAATCTCACACACTCGTAAATATATAAACAGCTGTTAAAATTTAATTTAAATTTTCCTCGGCATGAATCCAAAACCTTCGTATTAAAGTTTGAATAATACCTACAGTCTTTAAAACCTTCTTTTTGCCAAAAAACATTCTTCAGAAATTAATTGCCCTTTACCAAATCGTATAGCGTTTGTTAAAGGTCCAAACAAATAAATATATATACCTGCTATATTTTATTGGTATTCTTCATAGATTATAAATAGCTAAAAACCAAAAAAAAAACTGTCTTCTGTATCTTATAATACACGTCGTACATACCTATAATATCTATGAAATCGTTGGTAAAACACTATTGAAATTAGAAAAAAAATTATACTGATGGAAACTTCTGGATTTGGAAACATAATCTAGTTTATGAATGATTTAGACTAAAAATATTTGAAAACAGAATGTATTTTGCGCATATCCTGTGATATCGTTTGACCCGAGATAATTTAAACATAAATATATAATTTGTTTATAATGAATCAATCACAATAATGATACAAGATATGTATTACGTAAAAACTGTTTTGGAACGCAAAACATGCCCTGTTGAAGGAATGGCATACCAATGTGATTGAATAGGTACTTTGTATTTTCAAGAATTTTAAAACATTGAAAATTAATGGTTGAAAACTTGATGTACAGTAGGTAACCCAGAAATTTATGTTTTTAATCCAAGGTGACTATCGAAAAGGTTGGCTCATTTAATTGAATAAAAATATGCAAGCAAAGTCATCAAAATTATATACCTACAGTACAGTTTAATAAAATAAGTATACAGAAATGTCATTTTAAAATAAACTTTTCAGATTTGCTTGGAACACAAAAAAAATCGTTATGTTCGACAAAAACCTATTGACGGTGCCATATTTTAATGTCGATAAGGATATTCTTTTTCGTCCAAAATAGTTAGACTTTGAAATAATTCAAAGCGAACATACCTGGTAATGGTAATGATAAAATGCACTTTTTATTGCCAGTGTTTTTTTTTTTCGCCACATATACAATTTTCTCAATATAGGTACCCGCGTAAAATACAATTCTACTTCGGATATCGTACTAACAAACGACTGTTATTAATACTGAAACCGAAAACAAAGAGATACTCAACTGAAACGGCACTAATTTATACCACTTTTCCCCACCCTCACGAACTGGATAAATGATAGTAGACACAAACAGCTATGCCCAGCCGTACAAAAATTTATTTGACCGAATAGCTGAAGACGGACGACGCGACGCGTTGGCCTTTGTCACGGGCGGTATTATTAAAGAATATATTTTTTTTTGTTGACCTCACCATAAAATGCAGTTCTACGAATTACCGAACGAGATATGCAATTTTTTTAGATGTTACGTCGTCATGAACGTAATATAAAACGCGCGACCTTGAAAACATGGGACTACTATTGGCTGCTTCAGAATCCGTGAAGTAAAAGCGAACGTAAAAAATAAATTTTTTGTACATTTTTTTTTTCAATTAAATAGGCAAATGATGTACTTACCAGTTGCCTCTTCCGCGATATATGTTATTTCCTGGAGGATCCATTTCAGTATTTGGAGGGTTCGGCGGTATTTGAGGGGAGATCGACTGCAGATGAAACTGATGGTTTACAGCATGTTGCTGGGAAAACGAACCCTAGAAACGAGCACGAAATATGTTAGACTCTCTTTAAATAAAAATCATGCATGCCAATAAAATGTGAGGTTATTGTTTTGTAGAGACCGACAAAATATAAAAAAACTTATTAACTATTAAAATATTGTTGATTGTATTTGTAAGATAAAAAATATTACTAAAAGTCTTATCGTATTTATGTATAAAATTTGCAAATACTTACATGTTCTATTAACATGCTTTTCATTGTTTATTTGTATTTAAATGTACAAAATGAATTATACTTGCTAATATGCGTCTACATTTAACCTTTTCATTGAGAAAATGTTAGAATTACTAATTCTATTAAGTACCTACAAGGCACGTGTAAAAATGACTACAAAATATGTCAAGTCATTCATGAGGTTAAAACGTTTTTTTTTTTTAAGACTGAGTGTGATTGTTTTTGCAAGAAGTTGATTTTTAACCTGTATTATTGTCCGTCTCTTTTCAATATTTTTGTGATTGCTCATTCAAATTTCAAAATTAAACTGTCATGTGTCGTTATCAGAACTTGCAATAAAGTACAAAATACAAAACAAATAATACTACAGTTTAGAGAACAATGTTTGACGTTTGGCTATATTGTAAAACAAAGGATTTCAAACTTTTATCTAACAAGTTAAATTAACAGTATTATAATAATTATTTCATAGAACGCAGATCCAGTTCTGCGCATGAGCACACCTGGAGAAAAGCCGACATGTGTGGCCAGTTTAAAAATCACAAAGAAACAAAAAAATAAAGAAATAGCTTCTAGAAGTTGTAACGTATTTTAACCATTAAAAAGGCTATGCCTATACCGTTGAGCCTATACCCTTGATACATCTTACTTATTTGTTTGACGTTGAACTTACTCGAAAAAATGACATTTTCAAATTTTGGTAGAATTCCTTATTTTCCTTTCACGTCAATAGACTTCTTATATTGCCATTGCGAAAGTTACCGAACATATGCACAACACTTGCCATTTCACAGACACATTTTTCAAAATTTACATTTTTAATTGTGAACTTATTAGGCACACTATTCACTATTCTCTTAACAATTAGTAGAAGTTAAGGATAATAATGGGATTTTGGGTTCGAAACGAAGCGCCCTCTAGACAAGAAGATTATAAATCGTTGGTGGCGCGATGGGGCGAATGAACAATGAAATACCACACCACCAATAGCAATAAAATAATGCAATTGCTTTATTGAATAATCAGACTTTTTATAACAGATGTTGATCTAAACAAAAGATGTATTAATCAGTGAAGAAATTGTAAACATAATGAAATAAGTGTCGGCATATCTTTAGGCAACAAAAATTCACACTAGCAAACTTTGATTATTTGAATACGATAGAATTCTAATTCTAAATTGGCGGGAGAGTTATTTCAGGCCAAGAAACAATTCTTGACTGCAGGCTCATTTTTGGTATAACTAGTGCTACATAATACACAATTTAAGTTGATCGTGATACGTAAATCGTGTAACTTCCACATTTACATATAATATGAAGTGTTTAAAAAGTCAGTTTGAATGTGTAGTGTAAACGTGAAAATAACCTTAAATATTTTGTCAAGTTTGAAGCTGGAAGAAGTCTTATCTGTTTTGCACAATAAAATTAATGGATGAAGATATGCAACAGCTCTGGAAAAGTGGTAAGTTGACAGAAAGTTAGTTGTTCGTTGTTAATGTCTAGTTAATGTCAGTCTAGTTAATGACAATAGTGACATCCTACATGCACTTAAACCCGGTATAACCTCAATTACTTCAATATTGGAATAGTCAATTCAGTAATGTATCAATGTTTAAATAAAAATTAAATTTATTTGATAAATGTAGAAGAATTTTTCTATTAGTAAATCTATATCAAGTGCATTAATTTATATCTAAAGACGAATGACAAATTGCGTATAATGAGGACTGTTCTGTGCTTAGGTACATATAACTTATAACCATTAGCAGTTCTATATATGAATACAGAAGTATGATTTTTTACAGTTTAATATGTAAAAAATACTTACTTGTATAGAATTTATTTGTTCTTGGAACACGACGCGTAATATAAAATTTTTGCAAATACGAAGCAATACGAAAATCGGTAACTGTTCTTTTACTATTCCCAACACAGCCTTGAACACTTCAAAACCGAACCGATCCCACACGTAGTTCAAAAAGTCTTCACCTTCTCTGGAAAAATCAACAGCCTCTCTGCTCAGGATCATCCTAGCAGTGTCTTCAACAGCAAAATTTGCATGTATTGAACTGTCTAACACTACATTCCGTATATTGTTGAGAAGTGTCCGACAGTCTGGAAAAATTAGTGCACTATTGTCAGATTTACTGCGTTTTAGTGGAATTCTTTGGTCATTCATAGTGTCGGTACGTACGTCGTTCAAAAACGTTAAAGTTTATAATACATAGGTAATAAGATTATTGCTGAATGATAAACTCGTTACACGATTAAGACACTAAATTAGACACTGAGACTCATAGACTTACATCCATGGACTAAACATTAACATTTAATTGAAACACTGAAACTGACCAATTAATATTTGACATATTATCGGCCGACATCCGCTAACTAAATAACACTGAATTGCCGATATTGATAAGGATCGACTAGTAGGAGGAAGATTAGAACATTTTGAAAGGCAACGCAAAAATTAAGCTTGTTATTACAAAAATTAGCGGTCATTATAAAAATTCCTGGAATCGTTTTAAAATTCTAGACATATCTACCTATATCTATGTATTTATCGTATTTCTTTACATGTACTTTTTGTAAACTTTTTAGTTAAAATCGTATTCGCAATAAAAAATCATATAAATATTTTTTGTGTAACTAACGAAATTATTTTCTTTTGATTCAACTGTACCTATAAGTAAACATATTTTACAATTAGATTTTAAAAATAACAAACCCGAAAACGATTTTATTTTCGAATAAAATTGGGGAAATGTTTTCTTTAAAATACAATTTGGAATCAATGGCGAAAATACTGGAAATGTCTAGATAGCGTATATTAATAAATTAAATAACATAAAACTGTCTACGCTTTATTAACGTACGAGACATTTCGAAAATTCAATTTTTTATTAGATTGTCTGATTAAATTGTGTAAATAAGTCGTATTTTTATCTAAAAAAAATATATTTACACTTTGAAATAGGTACCTACAAACTTTAATACATATGATTAATTTATTTTTTTTGTGGATTTAAACATTGTATATCCAAGCGGTTCGTGATATGACATAGTGTGTTAAAAAATTTGCTTTTTCACTTCTTGCTCTACTCTGTATATACAGGAATGATCCATTTCAAATGTAACTAATGTTACCAAAAAAGATATTCATTTCGTTTTGTTTTTTCTAATATGGAATTTAAAAAACTCTTATTAGATCACATGACATTTCAATTTACTTTCAGTTGTCAAAGCCTACTTATTTTTTTTTTTTTCGTTGTCAATTTGAACAAATCAAGTCTCGATTTAAAAAATCATCGGATAACAAATAAATACCTCTTTTGCTAGAATATTTGCATATAAAACATAAATAATTCTTCCATTTAAACGCGTTGAATTTCGTTGTTGCTACTAACAAAATTAATGTCTGTGCAACTTACATTCGTGTGTGAATCCCTGCTGAAAGCGTAACCGTTATCGGGCTGACAATACATTTTTTTCAAATTTAAGTTCCAATTACAAATTTCAACCCACGTTATATCCCACAGAGGCAGTATTGTACTGATATTTGTCGGCGACACAAATGATAAGATAAACCTAGTGTTGCTGATTCGACAAATGCATGAAATGCGATGCAATTCAGGTTATTGGTAAGCGGAAAAGCTTTAGTCGACACATTATTTATTGTTTTTGCTACGGTCACTTAAAAAAAAATCTAATACGTAATACCTTAGTGTGAACAGTCAGCAAGATTAGTTACCACCACGATGGACGATGGTGAGCAGCATGGCGAAAGTATTTTTTTTATTCGTCGTTCGTTTATTTCTTGCATAGTTCTCAAGATAACGCTAAATCCCATCGAATTCGATCCTCTGTGTGCCTATTTCAGTACCAAGAATCCGTCCCTGGGTTAATCTTTTGAAATTGTATTTAAAAGAACAACTAAGTAGAATGATACGATGACTTTCTGCACCTACTTTCATAACGCATAAAACAGGTAATAAAAGTCATAACCGGCCAATGTTTTTGGAATACATTATATTCAAATGCTATAATTATAAACAAAACATTAATATGAAATATGTATGTCCGAGTATACATACATATTCACCTATCGTCCATATGTAGGTACTTGATACGTAATACTGGTTCAGTGAGTAAATTCAAGCTTTTACTTAATTTTTTATATTTACTTTTTAGTTGAGTTGGTTGACATTTTACCACAGAATATGTTAAACCAGTGGTTCGCAACGTTGTCGGAACTTTGATCTCACTTCAGCTTTTTCCATGTCCTTGGACGGAGAAGCGCTGATCAGGGCCGTAATAGGAATTTTCACTAGTAGTTACGGGAAAGCGTATTAAAACAGAGAAAATTAATTTGAAGAATTGGATCTTTTTCTAATCGGGGGTAGTTTATTCACTACTTCTTAGTGGTAACGTATTGTTATAAATTACAGATTTTCAAAACCACTTGAAAATAATATGTTACTTACATACATCTTGCATCTGCGTTTATCGAGGGGCGATCCGCTGATGTAATCTTCATACGTTTGCCCTGGAATCTTTATGTAATCTACGTAATCTTATCTGTAATCTATGTAATCTATCTGTAATCTACGTAATCTTATCTGTAATCCTCGCTGTAATCTATGTAATCAGCTAATGAATTTCGTCGATGTAGTCGTTATACAACGCCCCCCCCCCCCTACCTCATTTTCCAAAGAATGCCACAGAAACCTCGACAGAAACCTATATGGTGCGATTGGTGTGTTCCGAAGGGCAATCCGCCAAGGAAAAAACAGACGAAGATTACAAAATTTCTGAAATCTCTTGTAATGTATCTGCAGATTTCAATATCAATTCAAAAAATATTACAAATTTCATATAAATAATCAAGATTACAACACATTTCAGGAGATTTCAGAGTTATTTTAGTAGATTTCAATGATTACTTAAGATTTCAATAGGATTATTAGAAATTAAAAGAATATTTCAAAATTTCTTAATAAGGTTTCAAGGAATACGGGAAGATTACAATAAGTTTTGAATGTCCATTTGAACAAAAATAATTGAATTAACTTCAAATGTCATTCATTTCATTCATTAACAGTAGTACTTTGATTAAGAATTTCCAGTATCAGGCATTTTTTGGGCAAAAATTGTAACATTCTGATTAAGTTTTTTGTTCGAATGAACGTTAAAAACATTTTGTCATGACAAAAATGATAATGCTATTTTGAAAGTAGGTAAGTATTTTCCCAAAAACTAATAAATAAAAAATATATTAAGCTTTTATTAATACTTGCATTTAATACTTTACTTGTATACAGTGTGTTTAAAAAAGACGCGGCAATATTTAAGGGAGTGATTGCTCAGGTCAGTTTATAAAAAAAGTCCTATAAACATAGGTCCGCAAACGCTTCGTTACCGATCTACAGAATGTGAAATTTCATTAAAAAACAGTAAAAATTAAATTTCTCTAAAACGCAGCCCCTTATTATTACCTACTACAAACAACAGTATGTACCACATTTCAAAAATCAATCAAATTTGATAATTTGAATTTCTTTGTTCAATAATTTAAATTTCTCAATTAAAACAACATTGGGTTTAGGTGCGCAATAAAATGTTTTTTATTTTTTTACTCAATAACGGTGTGACGTACGGTGCGTATAATCTGAGGAAAGCTTTCTTCTTCATAATTGAACAAGGAATTAAAAAATTATATTTTTAGAAAAACCAGCGGGGTCCTATTTTTTTCATTAAAAATAGCTAGTCACTGGTAAGACTAAAAAATCGTTTTGTATTGCAAAGTACGCGTCTGCCATAGCTATTGACAGGCCTAAAATTTCATTATAATATCAAGAGGTTTTGGAGAAATTTAATTTTTACTGTTTTTTTAATGAAATTTCAACATTCTGTAGATCGGTAACGAAGCGTTTGCGGACGTATGTTTATAGGAACTTTTTTTTATAAAATGATCTGGGCAATCACCCCCTTAAATATTGCCGCGTCTTTTTTAAATACACTGTATACAGGTAAAGTATTAAATACAAGTGTTAATAAAAGCTTAAAATATTTCTTATTATTTATTTTTTGGGAAAATGTTTATTTTATGTTACTTCTATTTTTTTTATTTTTATTAGTTTATTGGATTATTATATTTTTATCTTTCAATAAAAATATATACTTACCTACTTTCAAAATGGCGTTATCATTTTTGTCATGACAAAAAGTTTTTAACGTTCATTCGAACAAAAACTTAATCAGAATGTTACAATTTTTGCGTAAAAATGATACTGGAAATTCTTAATCAAAGCACTACTGTTAATGAATGAAATGAATGACAGTTGAAGTTAATTCAATTATTTTTGTTCAAATGGACATTCAAAACTTATTGTAATCTTCCCGTATTCCTTGAAATATTATTAAGAAATTTTGAAATCTTCTTTTAATTTCGAATAATCCTATAGAAATCTTAAATAATCATTGAAATCTACTAAAATAACTCTGAAATCTCCTGAAATGTTTTGTAATCGGTTGAAAGATATTGTAATCTTTATTATTTATATGAAATTTGTATTTTTTTTTAATCGATATTGAAATCTGCAGATACATTACAAGAGATTTCAGAAATTTTGTAATCTTCGTACGTTTTTTCCTTAGCGGATCGCCCCTCGGCGTTTATTAATGTAATGTATTAATGTAGGTATAACGTTAACGAGGTTCTCAGATAAAGGGCTCTAAATTCCTCTGATTATCAATATAATTACATCAAAATATTAGAGTATATATTAATATTGACAAAATTCTCGAAAATCTCTCGACAAATTATTTTTGAGCCGCCATGCTCATTAAAAATTCTTGACTTTAATACTTGCTTGCAACTGTATTTTATATTTGTAACATTATGAACTTTTATTATTTTAAATACAATCATATTATCTTATCAACATTGGCTAAATTAAAAAAATATATCGTTTCATTTTACCGTTTAATTGTAAAAATTTTTAATACGTCTCTGTTTCTTACACACAGCTGGTGAATTACGGAGGGTCTCTGTAAATGACTGAAAATGATACGCCAGATGATTAAACTACTATGCACTGTGGGAAAATGAACTATTTCTAATTTGAATTGTTATTTATTTATCGCCTTTCCATGGATTTAAATTGCATATATTATTTTTACCTGGGCGTAGATAGATAGTAGATATGTATTGCACTTGTTGCACTAATAGTTTATATGTAGGCTTTTATACACATATCTTTTCGACATCATTAATCTCACTCGTTAATCATATATAT